CTCTCTCTCTCTCTCTCTCTCTCTCTCTCTCTCTCTCTCTCTCTCTCTCCTGCATTGTCACAATAATGTGGGTGTGTGCATGTGTGTGTGTGTGAGAGAGGGAGAGAGAGAGAGTGCTTCCCAGAGGGATTTTTGACATAGTTTCCCTCTCCTGTCGTCTTCCCAAGCTCTACCGTCTCTTGCTCTTTGAATGCCCGCACGGCTAGGCTACCAATTGCCCCGGAACCACTTGCCAGGCCGGGCCAAGAAAAAAAAAAAAAAAAAAAAGAAGGTAATTTTAATTTGGAAAAGAATTTCTCTGTGACCCTGTGGCAAAAGCTGTTCAGTTTTTTTTTTCTGCACAACATTGTTTTGTAACTTTTGTTTCAGATTTTTTTTTTCTTCCTGTGACCTTCCCCTGGTCTCTGCACAGCCGGGCCGCCCAAGAAAACAAAACAGGGTGACCCGAGCGGCCCGGCTGGTAGCCTAGCCGGAAGGTCCACATATTGACATGATATTGGATTGAAAAAATAAAAACCAAGCCGTCTACGGAAAGTGGGATGCCTCAAGCTTGTCATCTGAGGCCCAGCTGGATCCAGGGTAAGTCTGGCTCGAGTGGTAGTTTTTTGTTATCCAGTTTTTTATTATCCATTTCATTTGCAAGGCCCGATCTGCACTGTGCATGGCTCAAGGATGTCTACGCGCCCTAACTCCTCATTTTGCGTAGTGAGCCTCCATGCAACCGTATGGATGATTCAGGATGAAGGATGATTCCTTATTTGGGTTTTATATACCCGTCCAGAGGGAATCGGCTGCCCGAGACGAGTGTTTGCCACATGGTGGCTTTCCATACCACAACTTTGCCAACATAGCATTCTTTAGAAAAATCTAAGAAAAAAAAAAAAAATTATTTTTATTTTTATTTTTATTTTTTTTTAGTGCCAACTTCCAAGGCTCACAGCCCAAGACAGGAGTGTTCACTGGCCGCCGACGCAGTCGCTAGTACCTTTTTTCCCCTGCCGCCGATGCATCATATTCATATGCAGTGGCACCACCTTCTTCTCCCGATCACACCGCCCCCATCCTCGTGAATGTTTCCAGTCCCCCCAAAAAAATAGCAGCGCCATGATGGACGGGTGTAGCTCCGTTGGTAGACCAGCGAACGACTGAATTCCGGACCTGGACCCGACTTACAACTCCCCACGAGCAAAGTAACAACATCCCTTCGTAAGTTTTTTTTTTTTTTTTTTTTTTTTATAAAAAATAAAAAAGGGCGACGGCCTTGAGATATTATCATTGAGCTGACCGGCCCCAGGCAATTCATTAGTAGTTGG